ATATACAGTGTGGTACCTTTAACTGGAATAAATTCAGTAGAATTGTAGCAGAATGTTTCTTGCAAAATTCCTGAGACAGGTCGATTTTGTTTTCAAGAGAGATACATTTCTACATTCTAATGAACCAAATTACATGCATCCCTTACATAGGGTAGCTACCCTATGTGAGGGTCTGCACACGCCTGCTAGCGTGTGCAGGCAAACGGCCTTACAAAATGCGTGCAGTCCAAGAGTTACGTGAAGACGATGCAGATCGCAGAGTTCGGTTTTGTGAAATTATGATGCACGCTATTGATGGAAATCAGATATCACCGGAATGGCTACATTTACTCTAAGTGGTCATGTTAACAGACAAAATTGTCGCTATTGGTCTGACGTTAACCCGCACTGGGTGAGGGAAACTCACACTCAGTACCCAGTGAAAATTAATGTTTGGGCTGGTACCTATTATTGGTAGGCAAGTGATAGGACCTATATTTTTCGATGACAATTTGACTGGAGAAAAATATGAGCAGTTTCTTCGAAACGAACTTGTTCCGGCCTCATCTGCCCTATACTCTAGTCAGTTAGATCCAGATTTGCCTGATGAAAGGATATGGATGCAGCAAGATGGAGCACTTGTACCACATTTTTCCACATAGATGGATTGGCAGAAGAGGTGCAACTGAGTGGCCGGCACGCTCTCCTGACCTTACCCCACTAGACTTTTTTTTATGGGGATACCTCAAAACCAAAATTTATGTAACGAAACCAGAAACCAAACTACATACTTTTGAATCATTCAAATATCTGTTTTTCTGTAGAGCTATAGAGTTGCATTTATTTTCACATCGAAAAACCAAAACAAACATGAACACACTCTTAATTCCAATGTGGACCCAGACGTTTCTCTGATATTCTATTCATCTCCATCATTTTTTACTTTCTGAAATCCGTTTGACTTAGCTATTATTTGTAAGTTTTTATTCACTGCAGCCTTATTGGTTGACTAAGTTTTTTTGATCCTGTCATTCCGTTTTCTATATTTTTCCGCTGCATTGTCTGTGAACTAAATTATTTTTATTTATGAATGACCTCTAAATGAATTGTGTTCATTTAGTTGTCATGTCATAATGCGCTCATTTAATTTTTTTCATTTCATGAATTAAATTCTCACGTGGGGTGGAGACTTGTGATGAACAAATAGTTTTCATGAGAGAAACGGAAAGACTTCAGAAATTGAATTGTTTTTGTTGCGAGGAACATTTTGATGTTAATATACCTCAGTTATTTCATAGTGATGATAATAAAATTGGAATAATTAGGCTTCGGAAACGCTTTTGATCACCAAATTCAATGAAGAACTCTGTCTCTATTCTCATCGAAATATTTCTCAAACATACATCCATCTTTGGTGAATTGATTGTGTCTCTCATATNTTACAGATTTCAAAAATGCAGTTCATAATTTTTTCGATGTAATTACTGTTTCGGAAACCTGGTTAAGTAGTTATATAACCGATGAATATGTTACGCTAACTGGCTATAAGTTGTATAGACGTGATAGGGCGTTG